TGCATCTTAATATTCAGATTTAGACTATGCATCTTAATATTGAGATAGATATATGATGTTTGTTTAACTATAACTCGAACTTCTTTTTGTTTTTGGGTTTGTTACTGCTATATTAGCAGGAAATTATAATGTAAGCAATAAAAGAAGTAATGTCTAATGTTCTGATGGACTAGTGACGAAAAACAAATTCATAGATAGCTAAATAATGGCGCCTCTCCAAAGAAAATATCCCATCCATGAATATTAGTACTACATAACAAAAACTAGATTTCAAAAGATGGAACACGGCCGCCTCTTCTGCCGGTAAAAATGATGGTTTGTTAGGACACAAATCTATTTTGTTAGGGCACAAATCAGTGACAGACTCATATTCCAAAGTTCTAAGGAGAAGTGCATAATTACTCATTTTTGCGGTTGTCATTCAATTAGTATCCCTGTTTTTGATTGAGATGTATACAAAAAAATGGTTCAACTTTCTCTTAGGTATGTCTGAATCTCACATGTGCGTTTCAACAAACAAATAATAAATTCTTTTTTCAATTTACCCCAAATAAACTCAAATTTGAAACATAGAACCATGTATTATAAAGAACAAACTTCAATCATTAATACACATATAAAAAATTATTAAAATTACAATCATATATATCTGCAGAATCAGATGAAAACATAATACATTATTACTTAAATAGTGTGACAAAAATAAAATATCACATGAAATTCTTACAGAATTCAATCATATTGAGTCTATTGCTTTGATAAGTTTGACCATTTAAATTCAAATTTGTGTAAGCCTCATTCTTCATATTAATATCTAGTAGCGGGACATGTGAGTTATATTGAGTGTATTGTTTTGATAAGTTAGACCATTTAAATTCAAATATGTATTAGTCTCACTATTCATGTTAATATCTAATATCGGGACAGTTAAGTTTATAATTGAAATTATTCTAGAGAATTTCATTTCACTAGTTATACTATCATCTCCTCTTCTTTTTATTATTCTCTTCTCTATTGACAGTCGTCAGTCCTATCTGAATTTAAAAAATATTGGTAATTAATTATAATTTAATAATTAATTTTTTTTCAATTGACATATAATATTTTGTAAGACAAGAATAAACATATATAAATTAGTGTCTGTTATCTAACAATACAAATGTTTAGATCCCTTTTATTGATTATAGTTTTGAAATATTTCTCAATAGAGTCAATTATTACTTAAACTATCAAAATTATTCTAAAAGTATTTAAAATTAAGATTTCACTTGATTGAATATGCCCATCAGATATCAGATTTTACTTATATAATATGTTCTATTAGTTTTATTTACAAAAATCAATAGCATAGTGATTGTTACCTCTTTAGAAGACATTCAAAGTTAAAAGACAATATTTTTAAAAATTTAACTAGTTGATAATATAATTAGTTTGAGTTTGAAATGTCTAATAAAACATCTCAAAGAATGGAAGATAATCTTACAAAGCCAATATTAAAACATGGTTGTTTCAAATTAAAATAAATTAGACAAATTAAGAAATGGAAAGTAACTGTAAATTTAATTACTTACAATTTCAAACATATGTACTTAATAATTAGTAAGAAATTACTAATAATTAAGAAAATTTTAATTTATAGTAACAATAAATAGAATAGTTTTTTTATACTATTCCAAATGTGGTATGGCTTGATACGGCGCTTGTGACAATTAACATTCTACATCGCCTTCAGCAGAGCTGGTCGTCTCTTTAGGTATGTATGTATCTCCTTCATCTTTTGTCTCAGTGCTTTTGGTTCTCCTTGCTCGAATTTATCTTCGGATTCGGATGTATATATATGTTTGAGCTTCCTGAATTTGGGGATTTGATTTGTAATTTTGTGGCTTAGGGTTTCAACTGTCCTTATGGTTAATTTTATGATTGCTAATATACATTGGAAATTATTCTTTTAGCTTTGACGGACAAATTCCACTATAGGACAAGCACAGGTTTTCTCCTTTTCGTTAGATGGGTGAGAAAGATTTGGAAATTGAGGAAACAAGTCCAGCATGTGGAGAAGATGAAGCTAAAACACAAGTGCGAAAAGTTAAAAAGAAGAAGAAGAAGGTGAAGGCGGAAAAGCGTGGAGTTTGTCACGTAAGTAGAGTACCGCCTCGTATGGACCACGTGAAACTTCGCCAGGTTCTTTCTCAGTTTGGAGAAATTCAGAGAATATATCTTGTACCTGAAGGTTTGTTGAGTTCCTTGTTTATAAACACTTCACCTTGGTTGTCTTTACTAATTTGCCTTGCATACAACTGCTGCTGCTCAAATGAATCGGAAACGGGCAGGTGGATTCCGAGGGCAAGCATTTTCAGAAGGGTATGCTTATGTTGAAGTTTCTGTCAACTGAAATCAGATTATCTATTATTTAGCATGAATTGTATCTTGCATCTGCATGATTATAACTTTTTTTTTACCGAAAGTAATTAAACTATCATTTATATCTGTAGGTGGGTTGAGTTTGCGAAAAAGAGTGTTGCCAAAAGAGTCGCAAATATGTTGAATGGTCAACAGATGGGTAAAGTAACATATTTTCTTAGCAGTGCCTTCCTTTTCTTCTTGATTCTTTTCCAGTTAAAGGAATTCTATTTAGATTTTAGACATTCAGGCTATTTACATAGCTAGTTATTGTGCTTATTACACATTTTTAGGGGACACCAATTATTCAGATACTAGCCAAAATTTGGCTTCTATTAGGATTAGACTAACATTGTTTTGTTGCATTACGCCATTTGTGTCATAACAATGTAATTTGATTAACCCCCAAGGCCTAGCTCTAGTGGCAAAAGGTGGAGAATTTGTGGCTTAGGTCACAGGTTCAAGCCCCACACCATGCAAAACGAATCCCAGTATTTAAGTAGAGAAGGGTAGAGGGGCGGGCCCATTATCCACCGAGTTTAGAAGGTTGTGATTGGTCCAAAGGGCGGCAGGTCACAAATATATTTCTCGGTTATCAAAAATAACAATGTAATTTGATTATCTTTGTTTATATTCTTCCGATTCAGCGTTCAACTCCTGTTTTTCTTGTATTTTCAGTGACCTTGAGAGGTTATTGACTTTACTGTCAAATTTCTATTTGACAGGTGGAAGGAAAAGGTCATCATTCTATTATGACATTTGGAATGTCAAGTACTTGTCTAAAATTAAATGGGATGATGTTACTGATGAAATTGGTATGCTGTTATTTTTTTATTTATTGGGTACTGATGCATTCTTCGATCTCCATTCACTTCTTAATTGATGTCTTAAAACATTTTGCAGCACAAAGGCATGCAGTTCGTGAGCAGAAACTAGCTTTGGAGCTTTCTGCTGCAAAGAGGGAGCGTGATTTCTACCTTACACAAGTTGATAAATCTCGTGCTTCAAGTTCTATTGAAGAACGAATGAAGAAGGTCAGTGATACAATATTTAATTAATTATTTAGCATGGAAGTAGTTGTTAAGCAGCATGTTTTGAACTCCCTCGATTGACTTTCTCATTTACCATCTCATTTTGAGTTTTTATTCTTTAAATAGTAGTTACAACATGAGACAGCTCTAGTTTTTCGTCGATAAGCTCTGATGTGATATTAAAAGATGTCTCTTTAAGCAAAACTAAAAAATATATATAGATGTTGGTTTGTGTGTAAAATAGAAAAAGTCTCTTTTCCTCGCTCCAAATTATTATTACTTAGTAATGTATTATAGCCAGGTTTAGTTTAGGTATTCGACCACTCAGTTTCATATTACCTTATATCTTGCACAACTGAGTAATATAGTATAGATAATACTTTTTAACTGTTCCATCTTTACAGAAGCAAAAGGTGCAACAGGAATTTGGGGTAATTTCTGATTTCCCAAGTGATCAGTTTGCACCACAGGTGATACGACAATTTCCCAGAAAAAACCTGTGGCAGATCAAGCTGGGAAAATCAAGCCTAGTTTGTCTAAGGACGTTTTGGCCGGAGTAAGTTCCATTTCCCTTATTCCCTGCCCTGGTGAAAGAGGAAAATAAAAGACTTGCTAATGTTCTGATGGAAGCTGCTCTTCATTTTGTACAGGTATTTGGTGGTCAATGACAAGGGCGTACGGGTGCAAACATTTCAGAAATTGTGCTTGCCAATTTTTTCAACCACACATTTGATTTTGTTGCCTTCAAAAAGTTCATCTCGACGGTTAATAGATGTTGGAATTTTAAGTACTACTGTTCTTAAACTGCTTAGGACTTCACTATTGTGCAGTCAGTCTATGAGACGTATTGAGCTTTATATGTCCTTACCTCGAACCAAACTTTGATTAAATACTCAAAACGTGGATCAACTTGGCAAAGCTAACCATCTCAAGGCAAAATGTCTTGGCTACTTTTCCCAAATGCCTTTCAAGATAATTTTAGTTTGCAAATTAAAATTTTAGAGCAAGGATATGTTCCATGTGTGTAAAAGGTACCTTTTTTTTTTGGTCTCAAACCTTTGGATTGATACCACCAACTTAAATTGTATAGATTTATAGTAATTTTTTTACTGGCCGTACTTACCCCATAATCACCTTTTAGGAATTTGGGATTCTAATAGTATATGTGAGGTATTTAAGTTGCTTAAGAAGATTTTACCATAAAAATGTCGTTTAAGAAAAGACATGCAAGGTTTCGTAGACGTGTGCTTCTAAAGATTTACATATATGAGATGTTGCACCCCATGAGAGAATTATGATTAATCTCTAGAAATTATCCATCTATATGAAGAGATTACCCCAAAAGGTTACCCCAAAAGGTTCTACTTGAAGATATCACAAACTAATAAATTGTGACATACATTACATGATAAAAGCACTGGAAAAAGAGATATATCATTAATCAATGTTCTGGATAGCGAAAAGAATGTGATGTTACAGTACTAATATGACTTAAACAAGAAAGAATAGGAATTTAATTTGTATCCCTATGTCTACTCAAACTGAATCAATCTATAATTTTATTAAATATTCTCTGTGTGTGTGTATTCACACGAATTGTTACAGTTAAGAAGAAGAGAAAAAAAAAACTAATTAAGTTTTCCAACTTCCATCATCACATGGGGAACAACCCTCTTGAGCAATGTCAGTGATTTGAACTCCAGTATCATAAATCACCCCCATTTTCCAATCTGATGGCAGCACTGATTTAGCCCAAATCCACTTGCCATCGTACCCTGCTGTCACCACAAACCTAAATTGCAATGCCCCACTTGGCACTCTGCTTGTGTCCCAAATTGCTCCGTGGTTTCGGGTCAAGAAGTTCCAGTTCGACGATCCAACCTAAAACATGTTAACACATTTATTAATTCATCACTATAAATCAAGATGGAAAAGTGAAAGTAGTTTTTTTTTTTTTTTACCTGAGCAACATCAACACTGACAATTTCAGTTTGACCACCCTGGTAGAAGATGCTAATTGCTAGGTAATATGGCTTCTGGCTTGATTCATCTACTCGAACAGCCAAATTCTTGCCTTTGTAATCACAAGGAACTCTGTTCCCATACACACAAATAAAACAATGTTAGTACTACAGTAATTTGCAGCATAACCTTTCATTCCAAGCGCTTATCCATTTGATTAATTTACTAAATAACACGTATGCACATATCATTTATGTTCAATTGTCTGGTCAAGTGGGGCATGTAAGATGCCCCTTTATGTCAAATTCTACAACTATTTTTTTAATTTTTTTTGGTAGTTGCAACGAAACCACCAAAGATTAACATTAACACAGTGTGTGCTGACAAGAAGACAAGGAACATAAAATTCGTATAGTAGGCTCCCTCAATAATTTTATAAACTCATACCTATCCATTTTTGTAACGTGGACAAAATTATTTTGTTAACATTTACCTTTTGTATTCAACATCGGCGATTCCCAATTTGAGAACGTCTTTAGCTTTTCCCTCAATGGCCATAGCCATAAAAGCTCTGCTACTGATCACAAAATCAGTCTGGTTATTCGTATTTAGATCAGTAACCATTACAGTTGTTCCATGTTTTGAACAAATTTTTGGGTCCTTACATCTTATCTGTAAATCACACAAATTATTTATGAGAAATTTAATTATTCAAAATTAATTGTTATTAATGGAGAACGAGAACTCAATTAACCTGATAACAAGCACCACATCCAGCACCATTATTGTAAAGTTTAGGAACAGCAGCGGCAAGTCGACCTCCATTGAAGCCTATTGCTAAATTTCCATAACCACACGCACCCGCTACAAATACAAAAATATTGGAAATTGAAAATTAGATTAAGAAAAAACAAAAGCATGTTAGTTAAAATTAGATAAGTAATTAAAAGAGGTGCCTTACAGAGAAGAGCAGAAGCACTGGAAAAATAAGCAACTTTGGATTGGTGAACACAGCGATCGCAGGCTATAACAGAAGAGACAAAAAGAAGGAAGACAAGGAAGAAGAGAGACATTTTTTTGTTTAAAGGATTTGATTTGAAGAATGAATTGTTTTGAGTGAGTAAATGGTGAGTGATAAGGCCTTTATATAATAACTTTGAGATAGTGGGGAAATGAAGGTGGGGTTAATTAATGGGTGCACTGAACTATTTTTTTATTTTTATTTTTGTTGTTAAAGTAAACGAGTAAATAAGCGCAAAACATATATGATGGAATAAAAGGAATGCGATACACGGTGATTTATGAAATCTAGATTAAAATGAAAGAAATAATGATAAATTACTCTCGGTGTGTTGTGACTTTTCATAATGGAAGAGTTGTGATTTTTTTTTTTTGAAGGAACGTGATTTTTTATGTTGAAGAGTTGCAACTTTTTAAAGGGTTGTGACTTTTTATGTCGAAGAGTTATGTCTTTTTTGAAGGATTGTGACTTTTTATGTTGAAGTGTTGTGACTTTTGTAAAGGATTGTAACTATTTATGCTGAAGAGTTGCAACTTTTTTCGAATGATTGTGACTTTTAATATTGAAGAGTTTGTGACTTTTTTGTAAGATAGTAACTTTTTTCTAAATGGTTATGACTTCTCTAATAAGGCACCATAAATACCTATCCATACTAAACTTTGTTGGACATAAATAAAAGGATTTTATTATATTTTTCAAACAAAATTTTCTGATCTTTTACTCTTCTTCTTTTTGCACTTAAATAAAAGAATTCTCTTGTGAATTATTGTTGTTGGGTGAGTTCGTTGTTCATCAGAATATGAGGTATCAAGTGAAGTATTATGTCATGCGGGTATATATTTTATCACCTTTGTTACTGTTTGATTGTTCTTCATGAATAATTTTGGGACAGAATAATTTTTTTTCTTATTTATTAAACACTAATTTTTTTTTACCTATTTTTCACATAAAATATAATTTTTCTTCCCCCAAACATATCCTTATTATGGATTGAAAGAGAAATAGTGGAGATGGGGACAGTTTGACATTTGACGCCGACCAGCTGCTATGCAACATTTACAGCTGTGCGTGAAAACCCACTAATCGCCACTCCGCATTTTACTAGTTTGTATTTGTATTGCGCCTGCCCCCTTTTTTTCCCCTTTAGAGTCCCACATTGTAGTTATTGAATTGTGTATGCGTTTTATCTAAAAGTTTAAATAGGTTAGGGGATTATATTTTTATTTTACTTCTTATAGGTTTTTAATAATTTTATTTGTGTAAAGCTTGCTCATATTGCAAATTTTAAGTATGAAAGTTTAGTTACGATGAATTCTCACAATATAAAATGTATTGTTGGAATATTAGTTGTTTATTAAAAAAAATCGTCATTTTATTTAACAATAGAATTTATAAAAGAAATTGAAGGCAAATGTTATGACGAACTAACAAAGTGGATGAAGAATGTAATTTTTCCAAACGAAAGTGATGAGAATAACCAACATCTCTTAATTTTGCCCCATATTTAGTCGATTTTAATTTGATTGTTTATTTATTTTATTTTTCTCAAGCATATAAAATTGTGTGAATCGCCTTATATAATGTAACGACATTATACGTGAAAGTCATATGTAGTCATTTGAAAGTATTTATTCTTGTTTTGATTAGAAGAAAAAAGATGTAGAGAAAGTAAAGGGTGAAACAATTTGGCTATATTTGTGTATTTGCGCGTTTCTCCTAAAAAGTGAGGAAAAAAATTGGCCCACATTTACTTGTTATGACGACTTTCTTTGTCATGTTGGAATTTAGATTACTTGCCTCCACAAAGGAACAAAAAGAATTAGTTGTACTATGCAAATTAACATGTATTCTTTTCTTAAATAAGAGATATTCCAAAGATGAAAGCTAAGAACACCAAGTCTAATAGAAAGTTACTTTTAGAGGTTACGTAATAAAATAATAATACTAAATGATATTTTGCTTCAAAGTAAGTAGGTGTACAGATAGGATCACCATCTTTATCGTAAAACAAACATAATAGCCAACAGCTTGCTTTTGGACCCCTTTCTTGCTCTTTGGTTACATTATTTCTTTTGAAGACTTAAAGTAAAGGGACTTTGTGTAGAAGAATATTTCAAACTTTAATAAATTTCAATTTCAATTGTATTTAGTGTTACGGCTGAATTGATTGAGCAAGTCCTGAGTTCGATATCACTTGCATGTGTTTCTTATGTCATGGGACTTGTCTAGTGTGGTTTACGGGCTATGACAAAGACGATTCCTTGTTTTAAAACATCAAATTAATTTGTTGAGACATACTTACTATTTTAAAGTTGAGGATTCATGAATGCAACATGTAACCAAGTTGGTTGGCATGAAGAAACAAGACAAAAACAGGGTAAGGGAAGAAAGAATCCAAAAATTGGAAGGGCCACAAATTAATTGGTTTTCAAAAGTAAACCAACGCTAAGGCCAGCTATATCCTTTATGTTTTCTTGAAGTCTAAATCCTCTGCCTTCCTGTTCATACCTTGACTTGATTATTAATATTGGACTATCAATGAAATTGGAAATTACTCCCTCCATTTCACAAAGAATGACCTGGTTTGACTTGGCACGGAGTTTAAGTAAATAAAAAAGACTTTTGAATCTTGTGGTCCTAAATTAAAGTTATATCAAATGTACAAAATTGCCCTTAATCCTGTGGTCTTAAACATGCCACGTGGAAAGCAAAAAGTAGAATGTTACCAAAAAAGGAAATAGGTCATTCTTTTTGAAACTGACTAAAAAGGAAAGGAGGTCATTCTTTGTGAAACGGAGGGAGTAACATTTTTGGTTTCATAAACTATTGGTAAATTCTGTTTTTAATTCTTGTGGTATATGATTCGGTATCTCTTTGATCTTCCATTAGTGTGTTTAGTCACTCATATATATCGTGGGGACTAAAAACTTAATAATGAAACAAAACCAAATTACTTAACTTATACATGAAAGAATTTTTATTGACGACTAAATTACTCCCTCCGTTTCACAAAGAATGACCTGGTTTGACTTGGCACGGAGTTTAAGTAAATAAAGAAGACTTTTGAATCTTGTGGTCCTAAATTAAAGTTATATCAAATGTACAAAATTGCCCTTAATCCTGTGGTCTTAAACATGCCACGTGGAAAGCAAAAAGTAGAATGTTACCAAAAAAGGAAATAGGTCATTCTTTTTGAAACTGACTAAAAAGGAAAGGAGGTCATTCTTTGTGAAACGGAGGGAGTAACATTTTTGGTTTCATAAACTATTGGTAAATTCTGTTTTTAATTCTTGTGGTATATGATTCGGTATCTCTTTGATCTTCCATTAGTGTGTTTAGTCACTCATATATATCGTGGGGACTAAAAACTTAATAATGAAACAAAACCAAATTACTTAACTTATACATGAAAGAATTTTTATTGACGACTAAAATACAATTATCAAGTTCAACTAAGATACGATTACACATAATCATCCAGAAAAAAAAACGAAAATAAAATATTTTAACAACATTTTATATATTAAAATACACTAATCTTATAAAAAATCTTTAAATATTATTGATGTATATAAGCTAAAATCCATTCATATACCACCAAAATGAGCCACTTCAAATTAAATTCCCAAGGATTTATTCTCAGAAACATATATTTCAGCAATGGCGCAGCCTACCTTGACCAATGGCATCATCTTCTTTTAAGAAAATCTTGACTTTTTACCTTCAAATCAGAATTTAATTTAGCAGAGTTCAAAAAACCAGGGATTGACCTAGGGCCACGTATAAACACAAAAACCCATTAAATAAGCCACCACAAGTCAAATGCTACAAGCTGTTTCCCATGTCTATCCCGCTTGCTGTAAGTATGCATGATAGAGTTTAAAGAAGTCAATGCTCCTCATATTTCTGTTTGAATGACACTAAGAATGCTCATGTAAAACTGGCAGGAAATGGTAGATTTCCTAATGGATTTTTGGGAGCTGGAAGGACTGTACGATTGACATGTTTGTAAGTAAAGGATTATTTTATCGATGAATGATGAACAGTCAAGTAGTGACAGACACTTAGATAGGCTGATGTAAATTTGATTTGCTTCGTGACTGGGAAGGTAGGAGGTTACTAATGGAGTTTCTCTAATGAAATGTAATTAACTTCTGGCAAATTGAAACATTTTGTACTGATAAAGGCGTGTTTAGACAAGAATTAATTGATATTTTAAAGAAAATATTTGCAAGTTGAGATTGTGTTTGAATATGTTTATACATACTATTTGATATTTGAGTTTTTCTGAGTGAAAACTTGTCTGTACAACAAAATCAACAGATATATGTCCTTTAGAATCTTTCATGGTGTGAAATGACACGACCTTTTCCAGAAAAAGCTAATACAGTTAATAATTGTCCTTTAAGCCTGCTTGTATAGTCTTGTATGTGAAATAGTTGCTACTCCCTCCGTCCCTATTTACTTGTCCATATTTCCTTTTTTGGTTGTCCCTATTTAGTTGTCCATTTTGACAAATCAAGAAAGGACAAAAAAATTTTCCTATGATACCCTTATTTACACTTCTTGAAAATTGTAAAAGTGTATGTTGTTTCCCTCCAATTTATTTCACTTGAATTCAAATAAGTGGTTGTAATTTTGAAGTGAAAAGTTGTCATAAGGGTAAAATTGTAACTTCACTGTGCTAATCATTGTTGCCTTAATCTGTGTGTCATTTCTAAAGTGGACAACTAAAAAGGGACGGAGGGAGTACTACTTAAACATATTCACCGTTTATTTTTATTTATCTACTAAATAAAAATAAATTTTGAATTTTATTTTACCCACTTAGTACCATATTATTTTTCATGTGTCATCTTTCTTAATTGTTTATTTCACAAATCCATTAAGAGTAAACACCAATTAATATGCTCATTCATAAGGGAGTGAGTGCAAAGTCTAAAATTGAATAGAGGAAGGATTCAATATAATGGGCACATGACATTAGCAACATTGAAGATTGAGCTTAGCTAGTGTTCATGACAAACCATTAATAGTTGCAGATATATGCTTCTCATGTGAAGTACAAGAATGGTTCTCTTTGCTGTCCTGTCCAGCCTCAACGGCTAGTGCCACCACCCCAGCATCACATAATTTTATAATACTTACTAAATACCAACTCTAATATATTCTCCAGGAAATCATGATCGATTGACAAAATAATCAAATCTCATCTTTGGAGATTTTTTCAGCACATCTCAGTAGCTTCGAGTCCGCACTCTGTATGTGTTGCAAAATGTACAAATCCAATTAACTCCAATGAGTTTAGCGGCATTCCGAAATTTATAAAGTTCAAATTCTGAATCCATCTCTACACTACATTGTGGCAGAGAAACAGATGGACCTTTCAAACACAAAGAAAAGAAAAAAAATTCATGTATAGAACTATTTCCATACGGGTCCAAATTGATCATCATTACAATGACAGTTTAAGCAATCATTGTAAAATCATTTGTACCAAGATAATATGAAGTTTCTGCAACTGTATTGGTTGATGCTGTGTATAGAACCCCATTTACAACACTCCCTCCTCTCCTACCTTGAGCAGCTAACCACACAAATGAGAAAGAAAAACCAAGGAGCAAATAAAAGAAAGGAGAGAATCTGAACTAGTTGTGTGGAAATGTTGTGATGGAAGCAGACGTCTTGCATCATATGTGGCAAGAGATACTTACTTCAAAGATCAATAAATAAGGACTTCAATTCTGCTTCACCAACTGATAACTCATGATGCTACCATTAGGCATCATTTTTCAAGCAGATTTTTAAGCTGTTCACGAGCTTCTTCAAGAGCACCTAGCAAGTTCTCTGGCTTCCTCCCACCTGCCTGAGCGAAATTAGGCCGACCACCCCCTCCTCCACCACATGATTTAGCTAGAGGCTTTATAACTTCACCAGCTTTAATTCCAAGATTAACAACTCCTGGTGTTAGAGCAACAACAAGGCTAACTTTTCCTTCTCCTGGGCATGATCCTAGAACCACAGCTGCTGGATCCTTCAAAGAATCCACCAGATATTCTGCAGCACTCTTGAGTGAATCGGCATCTATATCATCCATGGACTCAACTAGGAGCCTGGAAAATATCAATTGTAACAAGTTAGAAGAATCAGAATGTTGTTACTTATTCACGACATTTAAGCACATAAACAAAAAAAGATAAAGCAGTAGAAGACGTTTCATCTACTTATTTAGTGTAGCCCAGAGTCACACCGGCAGTGACTTTAAGATGCAAGATGGATTAGAACCATATCACTGACAGAGAAAAATTTAGTTCATGAGCATTCTATGTGCTGATTTCACTGGATTAGAATTGCAATATTTGTTTATGCGTCTTTTGTTTGAGATATTACTCTAAACGTTACAACTTCCAAGATAAACAAGGGAACACAAACAAAGCCTGTTGACATGTGTACTTCAATTGGAAAAATGTGAAGTTTTCTTTACAAGGACAATGGTTATAACAACATTTGGTTACCTAATACTTTTTGAAGTTCCAATAGTAGATGCTCTGCTAGCAAGTGTTGATGCCTTATAGATTGCTGCTTTTGCCCGAGCAGCTGAAACTTCATTTCTTGTCAATCGTAATTCTTCCAAAAGTGCGTCTACCCTGCCAGTTACTTCTTCTGCTTTTACCTTCACAATGTATGATTTTACTTCAAAATACCATAGAATTAATCAAAAGTACAAGAGCTGTTACCACTAGACCATTTATAGACGTACAACAATGACTTCTTTACTATCCTAATTACACTATTTATATAGAAAGAACCAAACAATTTATTTTCAGGTAACTTGCCTAGTTGTTTAGCAAAATTGAAACCAACTTAATGGAAACAAGTGTTTGGTTTTGAGAATCAAATCAAAATACTTTCTCCGAAAAAACAAAAAAATATTTTTTTAAAATTAATACAGAAGTTACAACAAATATTATCAAAAAAACAATCCACGCAATATTTTCCTAATATTTGTTCTCTAAAAATTATTTTCTTGAAGAATAATTTTCCTTGAAACTTTGCTTGATTTACTTGCAGTTATTTTGGCAGATAACCACAATGTTTTCTCCAATAACATGTTGAACAAGAAAAATGTAGAAGAAATCCTCCACTGAAAAGGTGTACGTGAAACCTTACTTTGAGAGTGGAGCATAGCTGCTTCATGTAGTTATCTCTTGTAAGGACATACTCAATGAAAGCATCTCCGGCTACAGCTTCAATTCGCCTTATTCCTGATGCAATGCCCTGTTCTGATATGATTTTGAAGCCACGTATCTCAGCAGTATTGCTGACATGGGTGCCACCACATAATTCCATTGACACGCCAGGAACTTCAACTACGCGTACCTATATAGGTTTTCATTAGGGAAGACACGAATTAAACAAGTAGAACTTTAATACATGGTAAAATCTCATTGTCAGACTTATCCTCAAAATGGACTGGTGTACAACTTAATCTTTATGTTTCACATACTCATAAAAGAGAAGGACTGCTGGTCAGTCCATATCAGCTTTAATAGCATAAATTAGTAAAAAGATAGCATCCAGAAGAATCCCCACCTGTTCTCCATACTTTTCTCCAAACATAGCAACGGCCCCAGCTCCTTTTGCGTCAGTCAAAGACATGACTTTTGTTTCCAGAATTGTGCCATCGCCAATCCATTGGTTGATCAAACCTTCGATTTCTTCGAGTTCCTTGTCTTGAAGAGATCGATGGAAGTTGAAGTCAAATCTAAGACGATCAAAAGCAACCATTGATCCTGCTTGAGATGTTTCCTGACCAATTACTCTTTTGAGTGCTGATTGAAGTAAATGAGTAGCTGTATGGTGAACCTAAAAGGAAGCACAAAATAAGAATAGATAAACTTCGATTAGACCAAAAAAATTCTGGAGACAAATGGTTATCAACAAAAATTGAAATGCAATAGCGAGACTAAAACAGATGATTCAGGAATCCATGCTACTAAAGAATCTCACATCAATCAGTTCTTCTGTCCTCAATATGATGGATATCCATTCAATTTCTACATTATACAGCATAATACCTTAGCCCGTTGTCTCAAGTTTGCATCAACAGCAGCTTCTACTTCTCGGCCAACCTCTATAGTACCTTCTGTGATTGTCCCTTTATGGACAAATATATTACCCATAGATTTTTGGACATCTTTTATTTCTACAATAGCTTTCTGTTCATTTTCAGCCTCCGTCATGTATAGAAAACCGTTATCCCCAATTTGGCCTCCCGACTCAGCATAAAATGGAGTCCTGTTGAGCAAAATTTCCACTTCACTTCCTTTGGAGACTTGTGCTACAGGACTACCATTTACCAACAAACCCTCAACCACTGCCTTGGAATGGAGAGTATTGTAGCCAAGAAACTCAGTATCAGGGATATCTTCAGCAAGGTTTGCACCATTTTCAACTGCTAGTTTAACTGTATCATGTGCAGCCTGAGATAGCTGTCTTTGCTTCCTCATTTCTATGTCAAAGCTATTCATATCTATACTGATTCCACGTTCTTCAGCAACTTCCTTTGTTATCTCCACTGGAAATCCATAGGTGTCATACAATATGAATGCATCCTTGCCCGACAGACAGGGTGCAGTCTCAGTTCCCTGAGTATTTAATAATGCATCTGCCAGCATCTGTTCAAGAAGTTTTTCTCCCCTTTCTAGAGTCAAGACAAAACGAAGCTCCTCCCTTCTCAATTCCTCAAGTATGCGGGATGATCTTGTCTTCACATCAGCATCAATATTGGTGCTTAGTTCAATCACCTTTTCGGCAAGTATTGGCAAAAATGCTCCTTGAAGATCACCCATCCCATCTCCCTTTACACCAAGTAACCTGCCTGTTCGAACAACCCTTCTAATGAGGCGACGTACCACATACCCTCTACCAATATTTGATGGGTTGACACCATCAGATATCAGATAAACAACTGCACGCATATGATCTCCAATTATCTGGATTGATCAGAATTAGAAGGCTTTCAACATATTAGAAGGTAAATCAGTTCACAAACAAAAAGACTTGCAATCTTATAGTGCGACGTACTTTAAGTTTTGTTTTTGTAGAATCATCTGCAAGAGCATATGAGACATTGGCCAATTCTGCAGCCTTCTCTAGGATGGGAAATATTAAGTCTGTTTCATAATTGTTGGGGACCTGTAAAAAATGAGGAGAACCTCTATGTTATCCTTCTTTTT